ACCATTCACACGGTTTAACTGACACGAAAAGAATTTGGGTGTGCCCACCCGATTTCTCTACCCACACAATTTTAGTGATGTATATCGATTAAAACGTCCATAAAAACACGTACAATCCAAGGCGATTATATTCAAAACTAAAAGAAAATCGAATTAAAATATTTTCTTTACCCCCAGACAGCAGTCCTGATTTAAAAGCAGATCGCGCAGTTAGCATAAGGAGAGTAAAAAATGCGTGACATAAGAGGGCGCATCACGCAATCTCCTTAGGGAAAAATTCACATATTGCAAGCTTTGCTTACACGCTCTTAAAGTTAAACAATATTCTAACTACTTACATCTTTGAAACTTTTTCTCGCTTCGCTTCTCACATCAGATTTAATACTACATCATACATGCTGCACCATCACTATTCCTAATATTATGTAACCAAAATGTGTAATGTGGACCCGTCACGTGCACTTACCTTACGGAACGGTACAATCACGTGTTTGTGAGCCTCGACGAAACTTTTTTTTGTCAGGAAATTTGTAATAGTGAGTCCAGAGACTGCTAAAAGGACAAATTAGGGGAGCAACAGATTTCTAATTTCCAGACTGATAGTATACCGCTACAGATTCATGGGGCGTTTCAAAAAATTTAAAAGGTTGCCACTCCGGCGCGAGTGAGGGGGCCACCCCACCGTTTGAAAACTGCTTTTATTGGAGATGTCCAACGGCAACATTTGCAAACGCCCTTAATCGTGATTTTGTGTGTTTAAATATTGTTACTTGTTGAATTTGATGTTTTCGATTTTTCAGCTGGAAAAATAAGTTGCTGTTAGGTTTAAGTAGCAAAATGTCACTCTCGGATCCCAATAGCTGGCATTTTTCGTTCACTACAAAATTGACTTATCACAAAAGTGTGCATGATTTAAATTAGCTTTCCCGAAGGTTTAGGTTGGCATATTGAATAGCAAACAAAAACAAGTTTTTTTGTTTTCTGTTTAACTTCAGCAACACTGAGTTAGTTGTACAAAAAATTTACAGCCGTGAATACTGGCTCATCTTGTGAAACCCCAACACTTTTCAGTTTAGTATGAAAACCTGCATTTCTTATTCTGATTACTACATTGAAGGTGACTCAAGCCTACATACTGGAGGGATATTAAAAACCTTTTTCGTCAGTACCTTTTGTCAGCATTGGTATTAGTATAATTATTATACTGCGACCAGTTCATTTTGCTTCCTAAGTTTATAACAGCGCAGAGAGGAGCGCACGGACCGACCACAAAAACCAACCTCTGAGCCCGCGACACTCAGTTGCACCTTTTCTCGGGTATATCTCACGTTCGCTTCCAACTGGTTTAAGACCAAAGAAGAGAAAATGACAACTGATTAACCTGTCGTCTATGAATTCGGTATAAAAGTTATCAATTAACCTCAGCCTAAGATTGTATCACCAAAAACTGCCTTTTAAAAATTTTAAAACAAGCCACCTCTAGAACGCTGCGATATTCTAACGATTTGTCCCTTTAAAGTAAGCTCTATACTCATGAGTCCTGCTTATCCGACTTCGAGGACGCTGAAGAAGCGTCGTCTTTGTTGTTATCGTCTCCTTCCTTTTCCATGGTGCTCTTCACTTGTGATGTGTGATGTTTCTTCAGCCAAAGCAGCCACTTACTCGGGTTGCCCGTGAGGTACGTGCTCTTCAGTGGACTGGGTACAGAGCCTCGTATCTGTGTAATGAGTGTGATTTTGGAGGATCTGGTGGCGTCGTGATATGGACGAATGACTGCGCCGCAAATACCAGTCTCCAATCTATTGAAAGGCGAAAATCGAGTGAATAGATGGGAAACGCATACGTAGGAACACGCATAGTTGGATCAGCAAACACACGACTGAACTGGGCCTGAAGTTTGTGCTAGCTTTAACTGAAGCCTAACATTCTGGGAGCTCTACGTTTACCGTCGTGTAATCTTAGGTTCTCACCCCCCTTCAGCACACTCTGCGAATAACCAACCTCTTAGCCTCCTGCCGGATTGGGTTTCGTAATTATATAGTGTTCAATAAAGTATGCACCAAATAAAAGACAAAAACTGATATAGCCAAAAAAAAGATTATCCTAACATATTCAAGGAAGGTTACGACCGTGTGAGCTCATTCAGAACAGTGGGAATATTTTATTTTGCACTTCCATGCGAACTCTAGATCCCACGTGATGACTCAGCTGATTACACAAAAACAAAAGTGTAAATAACGTGCTATAATGGCGCGAAACAACACCAACCTCATAACTGTGACTTTAGTATCCTCCCCAGGGACGCTCGGATGACTGGACCCTTTCCAAGCCCACGCGTAACAAGGTTCCTCGTCTTCACGATCCAGGCTTGCTAACACTACACAGCGATTTTTCTTCTTCTGAGAACTACAAAATGGCGACAAAAATAAGTGAAAAGTCATATACTTTGTCATACTATGAAATCTTAACTTGAAGTTTGATTACATTGGTACATTAACCGCCGAGTTAGTGAAGCTAGCGTTTCGAGCCCTTCCCCAGAAAAAAAGTTAAGGATTATGGATTGTGGGTTGTGGGTTAGATGGGCGTTTATAAATGTACTAAGGCGTTGCGCTGTTGGAGGAAACATGCAACAAAAAACCGTTTTCAACCTTCTCCAGCGTATAGTGGACTGGGCCCAAGACATCTTACACTCACCATTTAAGGAGTTTGAAGTCGGCCATCTGATCAAGGAATGAGATACCGTCAAATGTCTTGTCCCATTTGGTTCGTTCATCCCAGTCAGAGACTAAATCAATAGCTAAGACAAATGGAAAAATGTATTTTATAACAACATGTGGCCAGAAAAGTTCAACAAATGATGTATTTCTCGAGGTTACAGTCACATGTCACATGTCACATGTCACACGTGTCACAAGAATCACACATGTCACACACGTCACAGATGTCACGTATATCACGCGTGTCACACGTGTCTCACAAACATGAAAAACACAATCGGTTCGATTGTATAATTCTCTGCGGAAGCACACTTAACATGGGATAACTTACCATCTCTGTAGGGAATGTCTTTCAATACCATTACAGCCTGAAAAATTAAAAAAGTCATTGAGTTTTCTGCTATGTCGCTCGCCTCTTGTTATCCTTAACTCGGATAGAGCGCCAAGCGAGAGCCGCTTACAACAGGAACGTAACACGCGAGTGACACGCTCACAACGCGCGTGTCCCTCAGGTGCACCAGCGCGCTGCGTGAATCGAGCTTCGCGCTCTACCATAAAAGTTTCGCAAACTTAAAGCAGTAATTCCCTCATCACAAAGTTCCAAAATAAACAATTCTTGTTACTTTCAGACTTTCAAAGGGTCCCAATTTGCGGCGGGTTTCTTGAGCAAACGTTCGGACGGTTAAAACGTGTTTAGTATAACCTCTCCTAGGCGTTCAGTTAGTTGGGGCACAGTGCGAAAAACAGCGCGCGAAAAGATGAAAAAGCGCGGCGAGAGGAAGTTTCCTCTCGCCGCGCTTTTTTTCTATTTTTCGCGCGCTGTTTTTCACGCTGGCGCCTCAGCTAAGTGGACGCCTGGAAGAGGCTAAAACGTGTACCATACTTCGGCCAACACAACGCCGTGAAATAAAATAAATATAACACATAAAGAGAGCTGAAATGGATTAAACCTTATTAACAAGTCTTTATACTAATCAAAACAGACTGAACAATTCATGCAGTGGCTTTGTAATCAAGAGAAAATGAGGGACAGAGAGGGAGGCTCCCAGTCCAGGCCTTGGGATATGTCAATTCCGCTATAGTTATTTTAGGGTTGCCGAAAACATCGGGAGTGCATTTCCTTTTACGTCCGCATGATACCATTATTCTTTAGGTGATCAGTCAATTTAGTAACGGCGGTCCACGGGGAAATACGCTTTTTCGATAGAAGCGCCTTTTACGGGTACATTAGAGGCAGTTGGTATTTCTGGCTGGATAAATCAATGTGGGAGATATATTTTTACATCTCCTTGGGAATAAAATGGCACATGCAGACGGGCGGAAATGTAGTTCTGAGTGGTCAACAAAACATTCCGGCGGAGCATGTTATAAAGGTCGTGGCTGCTGTTATGGACTATGCACTGTGGCTTTTTCAAATGGAGTTTACAAGCCGATGGACTTCGACATTGATGTTGGCAAGGACAATGAGATTTTCTNGGCTAAGATTTCTTTCGTCGATGCGTTTAGAGGTATCAGGATCGCTACAGCTTGAAACAGTATTCCATGTTATATATGTTTTCAATATCGAACAATACGTTACCTCTCTGCATGTTGTTATAGAAATGAAAGCAAATAAATTCTTTCTTGTTGTCATCGCTGATTTCTTTGATTCAAATTTTCAGGGGAAAAACTTTGATATTTCTTTCACCCAGCGTTTTTATTCCAAATAGGTTGTGGTTCTTTACGCGCTTCTACTGACAAAAACGTATTTCCACGTAGACCGCCCTTTAAAAATTCCCTGGTCAACGGGTGAAAGGTATCATGCGGACGTCTGGGGAAATAGACTTCCGTTTCCGCCTAAAACTAAAAATAACTCAAGTGGAATCGACATATCCCAGCCAACGCCCTCAATGTCCCTCTCTGTCCCCTCATTTTCTCTTGTTTGTAATCAAATCAATCTAAAATAATGGTTTCAGAAATATCCATAATTGAAAAAAGAAGCCAAGAACAGAACAGAATAGACAGACAGAAATATGAACAGCCCATTTCCGAGTTGCCTTAAGCCTCTCTATGAAAGCGAGGCCTGGTGCACAACCATTCACATGAAAATGACTTTTATTTCCATGTAAATGAAATTTCATTTTCATATGATTGAAAGGATGGGCAGCAAGACTCGCTTTGAGAAGAAGGCTAAAGGAATTCGGAAATTGCCCATTGATCTGTGGAGTAATTGCGTAGTGAAGGAGAGAAAAACAATCATTCTAGTTAATCGAGATATCGGGGCCTAGCCCCATTCTGTATCATCTACTTCTTTGCCCTCTATTAGCTACTCTCAGTTACCCTGGTAACAGGTGGACTTCCTCTCTCCAGTCCTTTCCGCGAGTAAATTTCCAGCTCTCCAGACTTTTTGACTCGCTTCCAAGATTTCAGGCCCTCGTTCTCTATGCTCAGCAGTAGGTCAATATCAGAGTCCCGGATTGGACTAGTAGGAAAATACAGGTGCGGTAGGCTACCCATGTCCAGTCCCCCGTACCAGCTCGGAAATGGCCTGAGTTTGCCTTCGCCTTCTTCAATTTTGTCGAGAAAGCTCATTTCTGAAGGTTAACAAGAAAGAAAAGTCAGGTTTGTTTTTAACGGTAAGGAACAGGTTAAGTCTACATATGAGCAAAGTGGTCCATCAGGTCGGAGCTTATCGCGGTTTCTGCATGTGGTATGAACCGACTAGGAGTATTTCTACTCCCCCCCAGATGGGATGCTAGTCCATTGCAGGGTAACCCCTAACATTAAATTAGCTGGTACTCATTTATACACCGGGTGGAAAGAGGCACTGTGGCAGTAATTTGTCTTCCGCAAGAACACAGCGCAATGTCCCCGAACAAGGCTCAAACCCGGCCCGCTCGATCCGGAGTCGAGCGTACTAGCCATGAAGCCACCGTGTCTCCATGGTACGGTAAAAATACTGGTATTTCATGAACATATTCATTGCTAGAAAAAAGAAAGTTGAACAAAGTTTACCTTCCGCTTCCTGCACAGAGGCATCTCTAGGAAGCAAATGATCGCAGCGCGGTTGGGACCTGTACGGCAACACCTGTCCATTTAGCGACGTCTCTTCTGAAGTAACACTGGGATGTTTCTCTTTTGGTTCTCGGTACTTCGTGCGTGTTTTTGTTGTTGTTGTGGTAATGACACGGATGGTGGAGGTCGTTCTTGCTGAGTCCTTCAACAGATTAAAATACAGTCCTGTTGGAATATAGAACCTGAGGACGAGATTTACAGTGGAACCTCCCGCAAGCGGGCGCTCTTTGAACCAGGAAACGTGCTCCCTTAAGGCAGGTCTTCTGGGAGGTTTAACATGTAGTGCTTGTATTTGGATCGGATCGCGACGAACTATCTACTAAGGGTAAAGTCCGTTAGCGCAAAATCGACTGTATGTATTTCGAAGTTAATTCCACACTCCTAATTTTTTCTCCTTTGGTATCGCAGCAATAAGGCACGTTGCTAGTCTAACGCAACGATTCCTCCCGGCCAAGAGGCTAATAAGAGACCTTTCTGCCTTCACAAGCTCGTTGAGCATCGCTTTCAAAAACCCATTCGCAGCCATATTCGGATAATACACAACTATTTTGTTTTAGTATTTCCCAGTAATAAAAAATGTCTTCTGAATTTTGTATTTTCGTTTGAAATTCAGATAAATAGAGAGTGCAAGTCAACCTAATTCAGCGATAGAATACTTCAAGGATTGCATTGGAGCTGAGACTGCTAATATTGCGCCTCACGCCTTTTTTAATTCGAAATTATGTCACTTGGATCCTCAAAAAGGGAAAGATGTCTCGATCGTCAATCTGTAAAAACAACGGCGCAAAATCTCCGCGTAGCATTTGAGGTGCTTTTGACCTTTATGTTTCAATCAAAATTAAGATCCTCTTTGAAAAAAAGCGAGGTATCCACGACTTACCTTTTCATCAACGTTTGGTGTTGTGTCCTGTGTTCTCGTGGTCTCAACAGTGTTCACCATTACATATTTAGCACTAGGAGTCTCGTCCTCGAACACTTCTGAGGGTTCACTGTACGATGTGTCACTCACCAGCGACACAAATGACTCGTCAACTGAGCAAAAAGAAAAAGGTAAATAATATAAAGATATCTTCTAAAAAGGAAAATATTGCACTTTGAGTGGCTTACAAGCGCGCAATGTGTTTGCCTTATCTTTTTGCTTCCAGTTTCGTTATGGCTTGCGATGAAGCAACAAAAACATAAACAACATTGGCCATATAATGAAAACGAACTCAACAACAACATTAACCAATGAGGACTCAATTCAAAAAGCACGTGACCTATGACAAGCGCGGAGAACAAGCGAGCTTCATGTTTGCATGTTTGTTTGTTGTGATCGGATACACGACGTTTTAAGAGTCCTTTAAAACAATAACAGCAAGTAGTACGACTAAATGCTAGTTCAATTTGGAAATAAATGATCTTAAATTCCTCTGATAGTTAAATTTGACTTGGCCTGCGACGTCGTTCAATTTTGGTAGTGTCCGAATGTTTCATCTCTTACCCAATTGTTTCTAAATTGGAAGCATATATTCCTATGTTAATTGAGGCAAACACTTCGATGCTGTCGAGCACTGCTTAATATACAATATGCAAAATTCACTTCAAAAATTCACGTTAATTCCATTTTACTTAAAAATGTAACATTATACGTGAATTTGAAAAGTAAAACTTTCGCAGTTGCCAAAATAACGCCTGAAAAGAAGTCAGGCTCAAACGGGATCATTTGTGCACATATAAACTGCGATGATCGTGTCAACCTTTACGTCTTTCTCCGCAGTTGTAATTCTAGATCTCTCATATATTCACTCAGAAATAAATCTATTTGAACTAAACCAGTTAGGACAACAACCACAGAATATAGTTTTAAAACGCTGGTATTTTCTCCTTTTTCCAAATACAGTTGGTCGGGAAGTTGAACATGCCAAAATTACTGTCAATGTGCTATTACAATGTACGACAGCTCGAATGACAATTTCGACATGTTATAACAATTTGTGTGCGTCATTAGAAGACACGACAGCTATCACAGGAAGTACAAATTCATGACGTTATTGTAATTCACGAGAGCAAAAGCGTGCTCCAAGGGTCTGCTGATATGAAGACAGGAAGCTGTCCTGGGTAGGTAGGTAACCCCTCCCTGCTCCTGACACCTTCAATCAGAGAGTTCACAAGAGTTGTTCCTGCTAACGAGCAATTTCCGCGCGCATTCTAAGTCCCGACATGTCCCTAGAAGGTGAGGTAAAAATGGCTAAAGTGTTTGATTGGAAAGGGAAAATTTGGCCCTCAGTCACTTGACCACCTTACATTTCAAGCGAGTAACCCTCTACCCTGATGCCAATTTAGCGATTCTCATGGAAACGATTCGCTGTCAAATGTTACCCCGCCCACGGAACTGAACTAGGTACGGAGGATACCCCGACCACGAGAGGCAACCTTGAGGGATATTTATTTTGTGTAGTTAACGCTTACCTGGTACTTCAACTCGCTCGCCATTTATGAACTCCCACTTCGTCTCAAAACTTTTGCTGTCCCTCTGCTTTCTTTGCCTTTCCTTCCATGAATACCTCTCCTCTCTTTTCCGCAAATCTTCTTCACTTTTATGGCGGAAAATCTCGCCACTTCTCCTTCGCTCTGCTTGCTTCATTTTCCACCTCTCCCTCTCCTCGCGTCGTCTTTGTTCATCTTCCAGTCGCTCCCTCTCTTCATCTTCAAGCCGTTTGCGTTCAATAGCATCCAAACGCTTCTTCTCATCTTCTTCAAACTTCTTTCGTTCAATGCTAAGACGTTTGAGTCTCTTGCTTTCCACCTGTTTACGTTTTTCCTCTTCCTCTCTTTTCTTTCTTTCCTCCATTTCACGCCTCCAGATTCGCTCTTCGTCCTCTCGTTTCTTCCTATCCTCTTCTAATTTTTTTCTTCTCTCCTCGAGCGTCATCCGCCGCCGTAGCTCCTCCTCCTGTCGCTTACGTTCTTCCTCTTCCCTCTTCTCTCTCTCTTCAGCCTCTTTTTTCAGTTTCAGCTCCTCCTTGAGCCTCTCCTTTTCTGCCTCCTCATCTCTCCGCCTTCGTTCTTCCTCTTGCTTCGTCCTCTCTTCGTCTTCTTTTCTCTTTCTTTCAGCTTCTTCCCGTCGCTTCTTCTCTTCCTGTTCTCTCAGTAATCGGTCCTGTTCAATTTTCTCCATTTTCCATTTAATCCTTCGTTTCTCTTCCCCAAGGTCCGGGGCAGAAGCTAACTGGATTGTTGCAACAGAAACCTTTGTTATCGTCTCTGGCTTCTCCTGCCTCAAAACTCTTATCTCCGATTTGAACTCCTTTTCCGCTTCTACCTGGGCAATTTCTTTCTCCTGTAACTTCTTCCGTTCCTCCTCGAGACGCTTCCGTTCTTCGTCTCTGAATTTTTTCATTTCTTCCTCGACTAAGCGTGGCGTTTCCACTCTTTTCATCCATCCTTCTTCTTTCTTCTTTTTCTCGTCTTGTCGATTTTTGGTATCTTCCTCGTCTTGTTTTGGTTTTATTGACAGGTCAATGTCAGATATGACCACCTCTGTCTTCTTATTCCACCTCTCTTCCCTCTCTCTCTTCAGTTCCTCCAGTTTCTTCATCTCCTCTTCCATGCGTTTCTTTCGTTCTTCTTCTCGCTTCCTCCTCTCCTCCTCTCGTGCCTTCTTCAGTTCCTCCTCTCGTTTCCTACGCTCCTCTGCTCGCTTTCTCCTGCCCTCCTCCAGCACAGCTTCAAGTTCCTTATCTCGTTTTTTTCTCTCCTCTTCCCATTTTCGATGCTCCTCTTCCCATTTACGTCTTTCTTCTTCACGCTTTTGCTTTAATTCTTCTTCCTTTTTACGTCTGTCTTCCTCTCTCTTTTTCCTTGCCTCCTCTTCAGCCAACCTTCTTTCTTCCTTTTCTTTCTTTCTACGTTCTTCATCTTCACCTAGTATCGCCGTAAGTGCTTCCATTCGCTTACGATGCTCTTCGTCGATTCTGTTATACTCCCTGGTGACACGATCATGTTTTTCCTCCTCGACATCAGGTTGAGATACATCCTCGCCGTCGGGTTTCTCTCGCCTCTCCATCGTCCTTTCTTCGTTGAGAACCAATTGAATTCGAGCCTCGGCTTCCTTCCGTTCGTTTATATCCATGTCTTCGACGGAAGGCCTTCTTTTAACTTCTTCTTGTTCAATAATAATTTGAATTTCTTCCAATCTGTTTCGCTGTTCTTCTTCTATTCGCTGCCTTTCCTTCGCCTCCCGAATTAGTTTCTTCTCCTGTTCCTTCAATGAGTCTTCGTCCGGGTCTCCAGTTTCATCAGCACGCGTTTCGTACGATGTCACTAGAACTTTCTCTGTGAAGTAATAAAAGCGATTTGCATGAGTGATTAGCAGTGGGTGGACAAAGGGCGCCAAACGTGTCACCTGCCGCTAACAAATGGCGGGAAACTAAAAGCTGATAAGCTGAACTGAAATTTCCTTCCGATCAAGTTTCGCTGCTAAGAAAGTTTCGGGCGGAGGTAAAAGAGAGCGGAAAAACCTAGAGGGCTATAATGACGCTATCTTTGCGCCAAATTTTGGGAAAATTCGAGGCGTTTCTTGCTTAATTGCTACCGCACAAACCATTGACGTACGAGACAATGGAGGTGCTGTGAAGATATACTGCTGTTTGAATGAATATGAGGCAAACCGACAAACATTTAATTTCTCATGCGAGGTTACTAAACGAACTATTATTAAACGATGAAAAATTTCGATCAGGTCCCTTCAACTAACGTTTATACCTTAAGGCTAAGTCTAAAATATTGTACATGTAAACCACCAGCTGAGAACATAACTGCCAGTTATAGTAAACCAGTTAGTCGTACGTAGAGAAATGGAAAATCGTAACGAAAATAAATTCAAACTGATTTACTTTGTCGGTTCCGACGCCACTTACCCACAACGTAACTGCCTCCGTCATCAGACTCAACAGTTGGGAATTTATCTGGGAAAGAATTTGTTTATTGATAATAAGTTTAAAAAAAATTGTGACCAGAGACAGAAATGAAAGTAGAGTCAATACATAAACCGTACAATTAACCCGCTGTACATGTGCGAAAGAAATTCAGTGACAACATAGCACACCGGCATTTTAAGTTGGCAGGAAGACGGCACAACATGGCAAGGACCCAAGGAAATTTTAGCGAAGTTTTTTCTCTCAGGGTCCTATCACTCCGTTCTGTTTTTATCTATTACCAAGGAACAAGTTCAGAATAACTTGATTTCAGCTTAAATTACGGTACTAAACAAGCTCTTCAGGATCGTTGTAGTGGAAACCGGCAGAAAAACTACGATTTACGATTTCGCAAAATTAGAAAACAAATGAATGGAGTTTTCTGTATTTTTAATTCCGGCCTCTCTAAACACATAAAGATCACCGAAATAAAGAGAAAGCACACTCACCTTTTGGAATCCGAATAGCAAAAATTTAAGAATTCAAAATCGCTACTTAACCTTTATATTCTCTCGAAATCGATTTAGACAGAAGAAATATATGGGCTTTGTAACCGCGACTTGTTATTCTTGTCTAACAAGACAAGATGGCGTCGCACATTCAAAGAATCGAAGCTTTGGTAATAAAAACCTACCAAGCTGAGCATGTTACTAAATGATATCTTGTACACCTTTAGGGTTTTTATCACATTATCCACTGCCAACAAAAAAGAAATTGTTTCCAAAACAAAACCACTCCAATTTGGAGAGCAAATTATATTCGTATCCCTTGCCAAAAAGAGAGCACTTTGCTAAATTTATGCAAGTGAAAAACGGCAGGTGTATGTGACAATGGTTATAAATTATCAGTTGTAATGTATGCCAAAAGATGCAGCGTTCACCTGTTTGATTTGTTTACGAAGAATGCTTCATTAGCGTACGTTAAGCAAATATTTCCAAAAGCGACGCGTTACATGTCTCGTACGTGAACCATGCAATAAAAACGAGGGAAGAGTGCTTTGTCTACGTTACTAAGCTCAGCTGAAGTTAGGTGAAAAATGGAAATTTCAAGCAATAGCTTTTAGCTTTTGGGAATATTTTCCTCTTTTTGAAAGCAGAACACTGAAAACCAGTTGATGTCTCTGCGGGCGTCAGCTCACACAGCCTCTGAGTAATATAAAACTGCGTGATTTTGGCTCGGTTGATCTATTCAAAACTAATCCCTGACGCTATTGTTAGGAGGTAAGCTTATGCTGCGCACCTCAACAACAAGCAAACACACGAATTGAAGGATAATCCAGCCAGTTCATTTCACTTCATTATGTATTTATAAACAGATGGGCGCAGAATTTTGCGAGGCAACAAATGAAAAATGAGAAATAATACCCTCAAATCAGCTCACACAGCAGCGGACAAATACACTTCCTAGGATCACTGAAATGATAGTTTTGATACGAATTGGACTTAGCCAAAGTGAAAGATCATAGTCATTTATACTGAAGTTAATTCATAAATTCTGTAAAGTGACCAACTCGTTTAAGATTAATGTTTGCAAATCTGCTTGGCATGATCTCGGTTAGCCTGCGAGCAGGCTCTCATCGTTGGCAGCACGAGTAAAACCGTCGGCGAGCGAAGCGAGCTGGTGAGATCTCGATGGGATTTTCTGTCATTTTCTCACAAACTTCAACCCTTTCATTCAATGATGATTTCTTCAAGAATATTCCTCTAAAATAATCTAGAGTTATGGCGATCTTGTTGGAGAGCTTTCATAGCATGCTCACGAGCAGGGTTCGCTGTTGGTCGCGCCTGAGTTAACGCAAACGTTTACCGCACATTAAAACGACTGCTTTCAATAAACAAAGTCAAGAACTGGCGATGTGAGATTAGTCTAGAAGCTATTGTGAGTTCCTACCTCCTATGTTCAGCGCAGCTCCGTACAGCTCCACTCTCATACATGGCCAACAGTACCAGTCGACAGGGCAAAACCGCACGTAACGAGTGATAATCTCTTTTTCCAATTCCTTCTTATTTACACCCCAGTTGTTCGTGTTGCCATCGATGATCTTGAAGAAGAAAGAATCAACAGCAATAATGAAACTTCAGTCACAAGGCCTATAAGTTTCCTCTCTCGCCTCACCACCCTCTGCTTCGTCGAGTTTTTGCTCTCGCTGCAATTTACGCGCGGACGGAGTGCGGAAAAGATGCTTGCTACGCAGGCTATGTTGAATATCATTGAACAATCTCTTCTTTAGTACGCAATTAAATCTGTAAATGGCTAAACGAACAATAGGCTTAAACATAAAAGACAACGACGTTGACAAGTTTGCTATGCAAATTAGCCACGCGATTGTTCAGGATCTGTCATCAATGTTGTTACAATAGGCCACTTTCGATATATTAAAATTCAGCTTGACAGTGAGGCCTAGAGGGCACAGAACAAAAGAAATGAATAAACATGGTCATTCAATTTCTAGACTACGAGTGGTCCCTCTTTCGCTTAGTCCGTCGTGCGTGATGCGAAAGAAAACCGCGAGGCAAAAATGACCGCGCGAAATCCCGGAGGCGAGGAGCGTGCGGGATTTTGCGCGGTCATTTTTTTCTCGCGGTTTTCTTTCGCGTCACGCACGACGGACTAAGCGAAAGAGGGACTATTCGTAGTCTATTCAATTTCCTTTGTTTGTGTACTCCAAGCCTCAATGCCAAGCTGAATTTTAATATGTCGAAAACTGTCTATTGTTTTGGGATTAAATACTTGGACGTTTGGAAATACAACGCCGGTACGCCTTGCCATACCCCCGAAAGTTTCTACCCTCAATAGACGGCTCATTAAACTTCAAAGAGAAATGTTTTGTTCTATCTGTGTACTGACGACGAAACCGCTAATGACAATAATCCTAGCGAATCTCGGGAGAATAGATAAAGAGAGGAGAGCAGAGGGTATAAAATTAAAAAGTTTAAAATTACCTCCTTCCGTAAATGTTTCAACTCTTTTTTAAAAGCGGGTTGTAGAGGGAAGCTTAATACATGGGGAGTGACTTTTAGGCAGATACCTGAATATCCAAACTGTCTGAAGTAAATGGAAAAAGGGGAGATACGCGAAAGGACATCACTGACATTCAATATCACTTACAGTATTTCCATTCTCCTCGTAAGTTGTCCAGTTTTCACCATCTGCAGAAGACATGAGTTTGTATCGTTTCACGTAATCTCTGTTCCCGCCAGGATTGCCTTGAGTTGCTACAGCACACAGCAAATGAAGACCTCCGAGGTTGACCTTCAACAATAATGGATACACAATTAATTTAGCATAAGGTTTAATACCCTTAAGACTACTTAATCGTATGTAAGGAGGCGGCTAGGGATTCACACTCTGCACCTTTCACACGAAAAGACAAAGTATGGGCTATAATTGTCACTGAGTTGCCAAAGGACCCTCATCCGGAGTAAACTTTGAAAATCGGAACGTCGCTCCAAAACGCAAACTCCAGTACACGCGGAGAAGACAGCAATAGGCCTTTCATACTTTGCTAAATTTGGCTCGACCGGCTCGGCGCATTTACGTAGCGAACCAGGGAGAAAACAAAATCCGGCCCTCTGCAAACGAACTGAAGGCCAAGTCACCATCGGGTTGGGTTTTTGACTACTAAGGCAGATTTAGTTGCTGACCTCAGGGACCATGGAGGGAGAGGGGCTGGTAGGGCTAAAGCCCTACCCCTTTTTTGCTCGGGTTGAATTTTTTAGGGCTCCAGATGACATGAATTATGTATGAATTTTATCACTTGTCTTTGAAAGCAAAAAAACGGCTGAACCGGTGACTCCTAATGCTTGTTTGTCTTGGCAAGAATTTTTTAGCCCTACCACTTTAAAATAACCTCCGCTGTGCTGTCCCTGACTTCATCACTGTATTTACCGTTATTTTTCACGCAAGGTATTTTCAGTGTTTTAACTGCGTAAGATATTAGCTGGCTTTGATTTGTGGATCTTCAGTTACCCTAAAACAATGTTGAAAAATAGTCAACTCTTGTTCAAGTCATTTAATGGTTTTAAAATACTACAGCGCGTGTTGACCGCCTGATTTCAATTTCCTTCCTGAGGAAAGTCTTATTAATTAACTGACAGGAACCACGTCACTCAATCGGACAGACAGACTGTCGCAACGCTCTGTTGGAAGCAAATGCTACAGGCTGACGAGCAGCAATTAAATCACCTCATCCTGAATGCAGACATGTGAGCGAGAAAGGAGGGAGGCCAAAAGCTATTGTACAGCACAATTAAGTTCACGGGAACAAAATAAAAAAGAGAAAAGAGAAGGCAACTTTACCTGTAAAAAGCAGTCATCAGCCTTGCCTGCGCACCAGGCGGACAGCCCGTTCAGCCGGGCTAACTTCGGTGGCGCGGGGCCTGCAGAGGAGGAAGCGGTTATATTTTCATCCGGGATAGCGCCAGTTTCCATTCCAAGAGGCTCGCCTCCTAACGATGTCAAAAGGAAAACAATCAACTTTGGTGGTGCATTAAACTAATAAATGACTCCCTGAATTGATCAGCGTCTATCAAATCAATCAGGTAGGCTATGAAAATGAACAAGCTGATCATCTCAGGACGCGCAGACCAAAAACCCAAATATAACAAAACAGTGAGGAGAATTAGCATGCTGATCATGGTCTAAATGCTGGTTAACTAGAAATTCTTGAAGAGTCAAAGAATGAAGAAAACAGTTTGAAGCTAACAAAATGTATGTTCTTGTATATTTAATAATCTTATATATAAATTAATATGCGACTACAGGAAAGGCCTGCTCGTTTATATTCACCGCAAGCGTACGGACAAAAACAAAATAAACACATCCCTTTAAAACTAACTCCTTGTACAGGAGTCATATCAATAACAAGAACTTCCCGGAGTTTCAGAACGGTCGCTGAAATGGCAGTAAAGGGATTTCGCACTCAGCTTATTTCTAGCCCAGGAGAAAACATGGATTCTTGCCAAAACAGTTCAGCTACTAATTCACAGATAAATGCATCGATCTTAAAGAAAACCGGATAATGTTGATTTCAATGATGATATAATCGCCAACTGCCAGAAACGTTGAATGGCGTCACAACATGCAACGAAGAGCTTGAGTGACGCAGTAAACCTGAAATAGTGAACTTTAGTGAAAAGTTGACGATGGTTGTTTACAAAAAGAAATCGACTTTTAATCTGTTTCGTTTTATTTATTGCCGCTTTGTTGCATACGTTTGTTAAATTTGATACGAAATGGGTCCAAAACTAATTTCATGTAAAAAAAAAAAAGTTTCGGTCACGAACATTGAGCCAGTTCAGATACCAAACCCAAGAATAGCGAGGTGACATAAATCAAACTTGCAAGTAAATTCTTAAACTCAATCTTCGTTTTATTGCATTTCTGGCTTCTTTGACAACATAAAATCATTATTAAAGTTAAAAATCTATTCAAATAAAGGTGCTCTGACAAAATACATCTACTAAGAGAAACTATCAACTGTGTCAAAAGGATTTCGAAATTGATTGACAAGAAATGTTCGACCGCTCAATCGACTGCGTGGGTATTTGAAACCACTTCTTAAACTTAAGTCACACAATCAACCTTCAGTTACGTAATAAAGAGATAAAGAGTTGTTTTTACTCCAGCAATTACGGACCGGAAATAAACTAATCTGTCCGCTACGTCACAGAGGTTCATTTAAGGATGACTCTGAATCGATCGAAGTTAAGCGGATTTCATGATTACTCATAATATTTTAATATTCGATATTACGTGTAGCAATATAACGAAAACGAATATTGCGGTAGCAAAATGCGGCCGGAAAAAAAGAATAAGTTAAACTATAAACAGATGTACCTAGATAAATTGTTGTATCCTTTTCGATCGAGAATATTTCCTTTTATCTGAGACGCTCGCGGGGGAAATACGAATATTTATCACTCACCTGGAATGGTTTCAATGGTGTAGGATGTCGAACTTTCTACAACTGTGCCCATGGCTTAAACTGACAGTAAAAGAAAATAATAACAATAATAATAATTGGTCAGCTGTGAGGAGAACACAGAATTGATGTAAATGACTAGGAAATATTGCCTGTAAAGATATCCAGCCAACGGTACAAAACCTACTAAATTAGCAATCTTAAATAAAAGATAAGTTGACAGCCGCTGCTTAAGCATTTAATTTGCGTTACAATTTCTGGCTCGACGCCGATTTTCAAACGAAATTTTTCACCACTCGGCTGACAATACCAGGCGAAAAACTATTGCAAAATTATTTGCATTTCTTTTTGGATGAAAGTGTGTTTTAATTAAGTTTTGCCCCGGATCTTGCAGGTTTATTCCTTACTTTTTTGATTTCTTGCGGAAATAAAAATATCAAAAGAATTCACATAAACGAAATGGGAACAGGCATGCGAAACATCACAACAAGACTCGTTATAAGGTATACTCACTCGTAAAAATTCTTTTTCAACTAGCTTATAAAACTTGAGGTAAAGGTTATAACTTGATCCTGAAGTATCGTCTAGCCGGAAAATATCGGAAATAACAGTTGTCAAAGCTATTTCCTCGTGTGAAAGCGATGAACAACGATCGAGTATTCTTGATGATAGGAGTTAATTGGAACTTCTAAGCACATCAGTTTCCAGACTTCTCTAGACCGTAATCACGTAACTGGAATATCTGAATGTTTAATTCCTCTGACAATATATTATACGATTAACGAAACTCATCGGGAACACGCGAGAAAGAGTCTGGAACGGTTGTGCAAACTAGAGTGAATCAAATTCTCCTCCGACTTACCCAGTTTAGAATTTTTAATTGCTCTAGAATGAACGATCAACATTTTCATGACAAGTACAAGTACTTCTCTGTTAGCCATTAAATATACACGATATAGATAATTTTAACAACGGACGTCAGTTGAAGTTTGATTTAACCTTTCCTGACCTCTCACGAACGAGACACTTTCACATTTTTTGCAAATCGCATACTCAGCTACTATCACCAGCTCAGAGACACGAATATAGCTAAGTGATCCTAAGTTAAATATTCATACAGATTGTTGTGCTCATATATCCAAAACAGCATGGGCGTTGCTTACGTAAATCTATGGAGACATGCTCATTGACCAACTACAAAGAACACTCGTGATGAATGTCCTTTGCATTCATGTTCTCAAAATTATGCAGCAGAATATCGCCATACAGCAGGCGCTGTGCATCGTTTTTATGCTCAATTTCGATCAAAATGGCATGAAACATAACGCTGAAATTGAATTAACTAAGAACCGATTGATAATGTGCTTTACCAAACAATTAACTGTGTTTTGGGACCGAGGTACCCCTGATCTTGCTTTGTTTACGCCTAAATCATTGTTTCGTTTTAGAAAGTTCGCTTCCTAACCCGCTGGGCAACTTACCTGTACTCGACAGTCAACTTAAATATTTACCAGCCTGGCGTATTTAACACTTCTTCTTATTTACCTTCATGTCTAAATGTACTTTTCAGGAAATTCGCGCACGCGAGATTCTTTGTGTAAACATTTGCCACACTCACGCGAAGGCAAACGAATCAATCAGCCTTCTATTAAACGAAGGAACTCGCCCCTTAACCAAGCAGTGGGACAAATATCAAGCTGCATTTCATTCCTCAAGCTTAAATGCAAGCATCTTACCTCAGCCGGGCTTGGAGAGACCTTCAACACAGTAATCACGAGCACCAGGCAGAAGATTTCGCGATAATATCGCTTCGCGTGATGCACACAGTGGGAGGCATTCTGGGAAGGAAAGAGATAGCATCCAACAAGCTTTTTTTCAAAATATAAATTCGATATGCGTCAGTTAATTGTATTGTTGAGTTATGGTCGAACCTTTCATGCCCGATCGATGCGTGATTGAGATGATTATCATAATATACACTCATCACATGCATATTTTATTCACTAAATCAATGAGCATTTCAAGTTTCACTCTTCAATAAAAGCGCATCAAGACTCTGGCTAAGAAAGACCGATTGTCCAATAACACTTCTGCTGCACTTTGGCGCAGTGCGTAACAGCACGTTCGATTTTGGCACGTGACACGTCGAGTATTTTGTCTGTGACAGCAATCTTTGAAATCTTCGGTCCAAATGTCAAGCATTCTGTGCCATTTCAGGACAATAGAGATCAGTCACGAAAAGTCATCGATGGAAGATTTAATAGCTCGATTTGCCTCAACACATGTTGACCACGTTACTTTCGTAGCGTTTTTTTTTTGTTTTGTTTTGTTTTTTTTTCCTTCACATTTTTGGCATTCTCGTCCCCAGAACCGCCTTTACCGCCTTTATTTAAATTAAATATTGTATAGTCCTGAAGGAAATACCGTGTCTAAATAAAGATTTTACCTTTACCTTTACCTTTATCTTATCTTTTAGTCGGCCGGCCTTGGCTTGAGGGAAAACAGGCTATTAAGACAAGCTACTGTTTCTTGAGGGTAAGATTTTTACTAATTGAGCGCTGATTTCGTTTGTTGAAAATACTACCGATTGATCTATAACTAAAATCGTTCGAAAACGACACAAAGGACTTTAACTCTCGTTTCCCCCCCCCCCCCCCCCCCCCCCCCCCCCCCCCCCCCCCNTAGTTCAATGTGATCTGTTGCAAATTCATTTTAGGCACATGTCCACAGTCCCACATTCCATAGTCCAGTCTCATCTTTCATATGAAAATTACTCACACGAGAGGATCCTGGGACGAGATTACCGTCAGGAAAATGGTTCTTATCCATAGCTGTCTTAGGAATTGAAGCCCATCAAAGCAGGAAGTGAGGTGAGCTTTGTTTTTCAGCAGAACATACTTTACTCGAGTAATTTGGCTTTTAACTAATATCCTGCAGCCATGGGGCGATTTCATGTTTTTACCATGCTTGTTATCATGGAGCTTGCTTATCATCATAATGGTGATTAACGGTTCTCAGGCAGTGACTTCAGTTCATACCTCGTCTGGCGATCAATCAGGTAAGCGTTCATTTTGTTTTCCAAGATTTGTTTGTAGCCTTCAGGCACACATGAAAGGTCCTTATCAATCTTTGTAGACGATTCATAGTGATTTAGGAGATTTTCGGAGAAAATATGTGAATATGCGATCTAAAATGACTGGAGTTATGATCGCTAATGACGCTACGTTGTATTTTGCTCACATTCCTGGATCAACCAGTAATATAATAATCAACCACTAGATAAATGTAATACAATGCAGTCGCTAATGCAATACTAACTACTACCCTAGACTTCTGAAAGTAACGACCTCTCCAAAAGTAGCCACCCCTCCAAAAGTAGCTGGCACACCCCCAATTACCCCCCCCCCCCTCCTGCCCCACAAAATAGTGAGACCAACGTTTAATAGCTATTATTAAAAACTGGATCATTGGATAATGCAATTCAAGAGTTTTCATTGGCTCAGCCATCATGAGTTATGAGCCATTATATCAAGCTGTAGAAATATGGTAAGCGTACATGTGAGTTTTTGAGACATTTATATTTCCATTAGTTTAATTTCCTATATTTTAAGGGCATTTTTAATAAAGCAATTATTCCACTCGTACTCGTGGAATAATTTTTAAGTTTATTATTTTTCCATCAATAATCAGGTGAAAATTAGGTACAGTAACTTGATTTAAGGCACTCTACATTAATAAAGGTACGGTATTGCTTATGCTACAAAGCATGGTGAAATGGGTGACTCCAGAAAGTATGCATATTGTATACCACAGGAGGCTTTTTGGAATTCTGAGGGCAAGGGGGGTTCTTTGAATTTGAAATCCAAGAGCAAGGGGGGTACTTATGACTGGAATTCTGAGGGAATGAGGGGGAGGGGGGAGGGGGTCTAGAGAGGACAGACAGGAGTGTGGAAGCACAAATGAACTGTCCATACTGCTGACTACCGCAGAAAGCAAGATACAAGACAAGCATTGATCAATCACACGTGTTCACATTCATTTACAAACGAAAAGCGATAAAATCTCGGTTGTACATTGGGCTCCAGAGGACATAACGTTGATAATTTCTTGTCAGAAAATCGTTTGCAAGGAATGCCGACCCACCATGTTTATTTATTATGGGNAAAATATATTGGTAAGGGGTTGTTAATTGTGTGGAATGAAACTGTATGCTGAATAGACACGGCCATAATAGAGGGTCCCCAATACCCTGGGGGACACTTTGCACATGAAATGGTGGGGATGCTTGTTGGAAATTTTTAATTAAACCCCTAAAGGAGACCAATCATGGTGTGGCACAGGATGTTTTCACTCCTAAAAGAGACCATATTTCAAATATATTAAATATATATTTTTACATTTTTTTGCGTGAAACCCTGAACAAGACATTCACAGCTACATATAAGCTACACATGATGGTGTTTAGCCCAGAACACCCTAAGTGAGACCAAAATCTGAAATTTACACCCCTAAGCAAGACGACGAGCATCCCCACCCCTTTCATGTGCAATTGCGCCCCCCACCCTCCCCCCCACCCCCCCGGGCCCAACAACAGTACTAGGCTTCTTCAATCCGACTATCTCGACCAGAGTTTTCCCTTGATCCTGTAATCCCTATGATTTCTGTTGGCTAATCCTGATCCCAATCATGATTTCTTTTTACAGAAAAGATCCTTTTCAACAATCAAGTTCCAGATTCCCTTAAAGCAAACCCGAGCACTGACTATTAGGTTCAATTATCTGTCAGTATCTCTCCCCACCAAAATGATTTCATTATTCATTGGGTATTGTGTGGTAACAACCGCCTTCCCGATCATTTTGATCACTGAAAAACTTGTCAGTCAGAGAGGGTAGCAAACAAAGAAGAACATTAAGGCTGGTTTCCATATGATCGCAGCGCTTGTGGCAGTCATATAGGAACCAGCCTTTGCAATTAACTAGATATCATTAAGTGTCACAGCAATCTTCCCTCGCAGTTCATTACACATAACAGGATGGCATCCAAAAGTTTTCATAGATAAGTTCTGTAATTCATCTAAGTCACTGTTTGGCTATTTCTGATGTTCGGTTTGGTTCACTTTTCCTTCATGTTGAGAAATTCACAATCGATTTCCCAAGTGGTGTTATGTAAAATCGCCAGTCCCTCTCCCTTTCATAATTTCAATTCTGGATTTTGCCCCTTTTCCTTCAAAATCCTGAATCCTGGCCTTCAAATAGGCCAAATTCCAGATCCCGAAAAACCTATTGGGGACCCCCATAATAAAGTATACAGGACATATATGCATTTTAATCTTGAAATGGAGAGAAAACAAAAGTTTCTTTTATTTACTATCACAAAAGGTTTTAAATTGACTGTAGAACACTCAGAGCAGTGTATCTTCAAGGATGAAGAATATTCAAGGTAAATAATAGAATGACCACCATATTTGTTAATTTCTTTCATTACATGACTGTGTGAGAAAATTACTTTATAATTTGTGATTGGCTGAGTGCAGGCCAATTATTGTTAATATTTTTAATTTGCACTGCAGTACGTTATTTCCCCAGTCATACAATAAAGGAGTAATCCTTTGAAAGCTAAAGCAATGAATGATTTCAAAAAATATCCATACCTATATCGTGGGCAGCTGATTGGAATTCTGAGGGCAAGGGGGGTTCTGTGAACTGGAAATCCAAAGGCATGGGTGCTACTTATGATTGGAATTCCAAGGACATGGGGGGATTTCTAGAGAGGACTGACAAGAGTGTGAAAGTGCAAACGAACTGACCACACTGCTGACTGTTGTGGAAAGCAAGATACAAGACAAGCATTTATTGATCATGCATGTGTTCATGTTCACTTACAGAAGAAAGCGGGCTGCACATTGGGCTCCAGAGGCCTTAAGTTGATGAATTTCTTACCAGATAATTGTTTGCGATGCTGACCCGCCTTGCTTGTTAATACTACTTGTGATATTGACAGTTCTTTGAAATTGCACTTGCCTGAAGGCTGGTGTCTGCAGAGAGAATTTTCAAAATCACAACTGGCAAAAATCTTGAATTGCACTCATATTCATATGATTACCTATACTTATCATAACATCAGTCACATCAATGATAAATTAAAAGAAAATTTTACACTGATAGGATGTTGTATTGTAGTTACTGTAACAGACTCTGTAACTAACATCAATTTTAAACATATATGGAGCTTGCTAAATCTCTCATTCGTAATTTCCTCAAGTGCTGGGGTGCTTAAATTTTATGCAGCAGGTTACGGCAAACATCTTTGACATAGTGTTTTGTCTTTTTTGACTACAGTGGAACCTCGATATAATGAAGGGCCGTTACGGACTGGCAAAATATGTTCGCTATAACAGGTTTCTTTGTATTAATGTTTTTCTCCATACATTTTACTAGAATTACTGGGGAGAAAAATATCGTTCGTTATACAGAGGACTTTGTTATATAGAGGCTCGTCAAATCGAGGTTCCACTGTATTGAAATCCTTTAAAATTTAACATAATGTTCAGTGTGTCTCAGCTTCACATGAAAATTCACTTTGGCCAAAATGTCAAGCCTATTAATTTCTTAAATCATTTTAGGATGTATTCATGTACAGTACGAGAGGTGAGACCACAAGGGCTCTATCTGTTGAGTGATAGACCTGTAGTGTTGTAACCATGAATTAATATACATGTATCCGTAAAACCAAAGTGCTTGACTGCTTCCTAAAGACTCTTGTGTTTAGTCTGTTTAATACATGAGTGTATGCATGACCTTTTTTTCTTGTTTTATAATGAATAGTATTCCAGGTGTAGAAATGGCCTCTTCTGGTTCATGGACAAGTGCTCCCAAAGAGGCCTTTATTGTTGGACTGAAAGAACTTCCCGAGAGTGATGATCCTGTCACCCACAGGCACATCTTTTATGCCCATGCTTATAAGGTGAGCTTTGAATTTAGGTTTTACTTTATTGAGTTTGCTTTGCCAAGTACAATGAAAGCAGTTTGATGTAGATAACAGTGTGTGGATTGGAAAATACTTTC